GCAAACAATGATAACTGAGGAATTAAAACATGTAAAAGACAATGGAGAATCACCAGAAAGAACTAACATAGGAAAAAGTGATCAAGTTGAAGAAAGTAAAAAGGAAAACAATAAAGAAACAGACTTTAACAAAAAAAAAGGAAAGACCTAACAGAAATAGGAAAAAAAAGCAGCAATAAGCGAAGTATTAAAAATAGAAAGATGCAAAAGTAAATGCATACTTAAAGAACGGAATGAAAACACCATTAAAATTGGACAACTCAAACAAAGACAATTATCAAATGGCAGTTTGTTTGAAAGATACACTAACAGACGAAAACATATTTTGGGTTTAATTGAAAAGTTGTTTTAAAATTTAAAATCCATTTTCCTTCACCACGCCAAAATGAACAGGATTTCCTTCCTGCACCCCACAAGATTTTTATAATAGAGAGGCACAATGCATAAAGGTTTATTTTCCTTTTATGTTAAAGAACCAGACTTTTCAGAATCTTGTAATGTCAATCAAGATTATTAATAAAGCAGATATATTCAGTTTTAGGATTGAACAATATGCAATATCTCAAAGTATCTATTCAATTTTACAAAAGAATTGAGCTTCTGGCTGATGGAATAATTTCAGTGTTTTGGGTTTAACATTTTATCACAAATTCTAAAATTGATGTCAAAAGGCTGATTAAAAAATTTCATAGCATCAGGATCATTTACAATAAGGCTTCCTTATTCCAAGAATATTGAAAGACTTCATATTTTGTAATATTTTCATATTTTGAATCATTAAAGGCAGTGATTTCATATCCTGCTTTTAAGCATTAATATACTGTTTGATGCAAAATGCTACAGGTAGATAAGGTCATAGAGTCATACAGCAAGGAAACAGACCCTTCGGTCCAACGAGTCCACACCGAACAAGTTCCCAACCTAAACTACTCACAACTACCTGCATTTGGCTCACCTCCCTCCAAACCTTTCCTATTCATGTACCTATCCAAATGTCTTTTAAACATTGTAACTGAACCTGCAACTACCACTTTCTCTGGAAATTCATTCCACACAATATCCACTGTGGAAAAAAAATGTTGACCCTCACGTGCTTTTTAAATCTTTCTCCTCTTCCCTTAAAAATATGCCCCCTAGTTTTGAACTCCACCAGCCTAGAGAAAAGACCCTTGTCATTCTCCTTATCTATGCCCCCTCATGATTTTATAAACCCCACTAAAGGTTACCCCTTAAACCTTCAAAGATCCAGTGAAAAAAGCCCCAGTCTTTCCAGTCTGTTTTTATATCTCAAATCCTCCATTCCCTGCAACATCCTGGTAAATCTTTGTTGAAACCTCTCCAGTTTAATAATATCCTTCCTATAGCAGGGCAACCAGGACTGCACACAGTACTACAGAAGAGGCCTCACCAACGTTCTGTGTAACCTCAACATGACGTCCCAACTCCTATACTCAAAGGTCTGAGCAATGAAGACAATTGATTATTACAGACTTTAACGCTCATTTTGATCTCAAAGCTCATGCAGCTCAGAGGACATATAAGCTGTCTTTCTTAAAACTTTCCAGAATCTGGTTTATAGTGAACAATTCAATAATTCAACAATTCTGTAACCAATTAGCAAAAAAGTAAACTTAACTAGATAACTATGTAATTCTTGATTAAAAAGATATGGTAAGGAAAGCAAAAGTCCCATATGACAATGAAAGAATTATCAATTTTAGATAATGTTGATAAAATTGTTTTGGACTAAATGAAAATCCTAATTTGAAGACTCCAGTATATAAAGACATGATCCTCTGTTAATTCCATGCAGTAGTTTTAGTTCTAGTTCTTGAAAACAATTCAACAATCTAATTTGAAGCTGGTTAGACTTAAAACTAGTTCATGTAGTTAACAATGTACTAGTCACATTGTGTTTTCATGCCCAGACAATAATTTAGAATGTTATTTCACAACTTTAGTTGCATTCTTATGGTTTTATGTTTTGACAGAAAAAAAGGAGGCACAAAAGGAAATGGAAAGGACATAATCTGATTTTTATTCTGGTGAAGAATATTCCAAATAACTTTTAAATTACTTTTTCATCAGATTCTTTAGAAACATTGCCTAATATTATGAGTTTTGATTGAAATATTTCAATCTACAAATATTTGCTTTGTCTGAATATAGATTACTTTTTTCAATAGTATTGAAAAAATATCACAGTATACAAAGCTTTAAAATGACAAAATTAATTTACTTTTGTACTGAATTTATGACTAAAGTTACACTTTAATATATATTAATCCATTAAATCCATTTTCAAAATTATCTTGGCTATAATAAATTTGTACAATATTTTAAAATCACACATATAACTTTATTATTTGCAAATATTTTGATCAGGTTTATTAAGCTTCACTGTATATTTATCCTTGTAGAATGATGGTTTTACTCAACATTAAATAATTTCAAAGTAGTTAAGGAATTGCATTTGTATTGTTAGTAGTGACTACAATATCTACACAAAGAATGAAATGTGCAATGTGCAAAACAAAGTGAGATTTGCTCTCACAAAAAGTAGGTCGATCAATTCAACATTTTTTTAAAAACAAATTTAGAAGATAATGAACAAAAACCCATACCCTACAAGCTTTTCAAAAGTTTTGAAATGATTATAGAGGTGGCATTGCTTTATATTTTCTTAAATCTAAGTGACTCTGTACAAAAACTTGATGTTTTAATTTGAAAACAAAACTTCAATGTGTTTATTCAAAGTACTTTACCATTTTTAATGCATGTTTTCATGTTAAAACATTAAATATTAAAACAGTACAACATATAGGAATTTAAGATAATTGAAAACTCAACATAAAGACTTTTTACTGAAACACCGAGTTGTTATTTTACATTTTGTTTGAAAATGGAAATTTATAATAACATATTGCACTTTTACTGGTAATAAGAATTTAGTTTGACATCAGTTTTTCATAATTTCAAAATGAACAACATTGACACCTCTGGTATTTGAAATTGATTCAAGTAGAGGTGGATGATTATGGGGAATGCAGACGAAGCTTTAAGGAACAGTAGAAACTGTGAACTTTGTGGTAGAACAAAGATTTGAAACATATCACAACTATAATGGAACATATTAACTTAATTTTTCTCTTCTGCCACAAAATAATTTCCAACAAAGTGTCAGATCTTGGATATAATAATCTGTTCATAACGTATTATTTCTCTAACAACAATTTTTGGGATATTTTTAAACAATGAAGCTCTTATAAAGCCCTACGTTCCATTTGCCCCTCCCCCAGTTTGGATTTTCATTTAAAGTGGAGCTTTGGTTATCGAATTGACCATTTAAACATGGTAATCAAATTAAATGGATATTTTCATCTTTCAGTAAGCTGGTAAAAGATATAATGAAACAATTTATTTACTTACACCACACAGTAATTTCCCCCCAATGAGTCCAAACGGGACGGCATACCACACAATTAAAAATTAATGTTCAACTGAATCACCAAATTAACAATTATTTTTTTCCTTGGCTGGTCCGATTCTCAAACACACTAAATACGCAGCAAATACAATTTTAAAAGTATTTTGTAAATCAATTACATCAATAAATACGGTTTGGGGCAAAATGCATATCTTTCACTTCAATCAACATACTTCAGTTTCCCGAAGATTGCTATAACGTTCCAGGAATTATGATCGACAAACGGAATATGCAGTCGGAACAAAAGATTTTAGTAGCAGTTAACGTAAACGAATTAGCACGATTGACTTCAGTTTTGAATTTACGAAAACGTGCTAAGCGCTCGTACGCTACATATCATCTAGTCTATTAAAGTAGACAGCTAGAGTCATGAGGAATGATCGCAAGGTACAACTTCATTCACTAACGATTATTTTATTTTTATAACGAAACTACCCCCTCGTGCCGGGGGGAAATTATTAGTTGTGTCCGTAAAGAGCGGTGTAGCTTTGAACAATTTTAAATCGACAATACCGAACTTCACACATACGCGATTGCCAACAAAGAAAAGGAAACGGGTTTGAATCTCGGATGTAGATTTTCGTTCGTTCTGAACACTTCCGCCAATAAAGTTGTGCAATGTGAATTTAGTTAACTATTTTTCCTCCCTTCGCCAAAAAACGAAAACGTTCTTTTTTTTTAAGAAAAACTGCACCAACGACAGCTCAGCACGAATTATTTTTAAAAAAATTCTGATACGCTTTTTTTTTTACAAACAAAACTTACAAAACTTGCCTGTGGGCACACATTTAAACACACGACCGTTCAAAAGAAACCAAAGACCTGGAATTCCAATATTTTATAGAGGTAACGTCGCCTCATGTGAACAATAGTGGAGTTGCCGAATAGCATAAGAAAACGTCGAAACTGCTACAATTTTCAAAAGATCACTTTCGACCAACATTTCAATGAGATAATGTAATTACCCATTCAGTGGATCCCACCAACCAACCAAAATCTGGGGGTAAAAACGTCGTTTAATAATAAAAGAATAACGTCTCCAATAATAAAGGAGCAGCCATTGCAACGTATCAGTTTTGGTACGACCCGATTAGACATCTCCTGAACACGGTATCGTTACCACATTATTCAGTTTAAACAGGGAGGGGACGCAAAAGATGGGCAGATCACAACGAAAATGCACTCCCTCCCCCCTCGCCTCACACAACCAGCCCCAACCCCCACCACTCAACCAGACCAATAACTCGCATAACCATCACCACATTGGGGAACTGCAACAGTCAGGAGAATTTTCGCGCCATCGCCCTTGTAAATGGCAGCCTGATTTAAGCCAATGAATGAAATTTGCAGGCAGAGAGGGAGAGAGAGCAAAAAAAACTTGGTCAATGGTAGCGAGGCTGGAGACGCTTGATAGGATCCTAGAGTCAGGCTGTGTGCGAATGAGAAGACGGAAAATGGGAAGAGGGAAAAAAATGGAGAGCGCTCCAAACTACTATTATTCCACAATCAATATGTTTCTCGGATTCTCGGAGTACAGCTTGTCCCTCCCTCCGTTTCTCTCCCAGTATCATTGAATAGCTGGCATTCCTCACGTGAGAAGTTGATGTATAGTTTGACCACGTGGCTCATTCAGCCGGAATATTCGGGGATTTTTTGGAGCTGCATTTTATTCAGAGGCGGTGCTAGTAGTAACGTAGTGTGACATTTTCACAGCCTGTTTGCGAAAGGGGTTTTGGGGGAAAGACAAAAAAAATAGTTTTTTTCTCTCTCCGAAGCCCGCCATTCTAGACTGCTAATACTACTTCTGGGGATTTATTTTATCATCGCGTGTTTTTTTTTGTAAGGACTCTTCTCGTTCCCATCTTTATATTTAAATCGACCGATTATTTCTCCAAAGGGAAGATAAAGACGGAAAGATCTTTGTCTTTTTTTGCAGTTTTAGCAACATGAACAAGCTGTATATTGGGAATCTCACCGAAAACGTAACCACTGTGGACTTGGAAAGTCTTTTCAAGGAATGGAAGATCCCCTTCACTGGACAGTTTCTGGTGAAATCTGGTTATGCATTTGTCGATTGCCCAGATGATAACTGTGCTATGAAGGCTATAGATACTCTGTCAGGTAAGCAAGTTAATCCCTTGTACTCTAATATTATCTCAAGTTTTGAAGCAAACAGTCGTAAACCTTGTTTGGTGGGAGGCCTAAGGCAGCTCCTTGCGCACCAGTTTCGCACAAATCGACTGGGGGGGCGGGCGAGAGGAAGCTGCTTACTCCCGAGTGTTTTGCAAATATCCATTCCTAGTATCCACACCTAAACTGGACTTTCTTGTGACGTTCGCATAGAAATTGAGTTTCTTTTTAACCTAATCTAAATAACATTTGGAACCCCCACCCCTTATTTATTCCTCTGCATCTGCACGCGGTCTTTTCTTTCCCCCCATTGAATTGTTATATTTCAAGCGTTCAGTGGCTTGACAGTAACTATACGGAGATGCATTCAGTACAGGATTCTTTGATTTGCTAACTCTTTATTGATCTAGTGTAATTGGACTGGGGTCGGAGAATTCGGCCCGTGTTGTTGTACCTTCTTGGTGAGAGTAGGCCTTTAATAACTCCAGCGGCAGCTCGGAGCCACCATTCAAATCAGTGCGCACTGGGAAAGGAATACGCACTTCAAATCTTATACTTCTGACAGAAATAAACACAAATGAAAGCTCACTATCCGAAAACTATTGACAATATCAATTTTATTTTCATTCGTTCCGTCCGCCAGCGCGAACGCATTTGTAGTCGGCCATACTGAGTCCCAAAAGTGTCCTTTAGTACTCGACCACTAGAAAAATGGCTGAGAATTAGAGCACAACAATTGAGTTCACGTTTTTTTTTAAAAAATATTTCAAATTGTACTTGTTCACATCAGTTTTGTGACTACAGTTGACCGACTCCTTTACGTTTTACGCCGAACTTTCTTGTCGACACCATTCCGAGATTTGTAACATAGTTGCCCAGCAAGTTGTTGTTCAACTACAAACCTAACGCTTAAGATCAACATAAAATCATTAAAAATAATCTTGGCTGAACGGTCGATTTTAAGCGTTTTCAAGTGCTTAATACGCATTGTATTTTGTGCTTTGCTTCAGGTAAAGTGGAGCTGCATGGAAAATCTATAGAAGTGGAGCACTCCGTTCCTAAACGACAAAGGTAAAAAATCTTTAATTCGTATCAGATTTCTTTCCGAACAGAGAGAATTAGACTACAACTGACTAATTAACGATTATATCTGTTTGGAATTAAAGGTTATCTAAACCGTACGAGTCTCTGGGATCCGTCTACTTTAAGTTAGAAACTAATTACCGTTTGAATCTCGGATACTTTTTTTTAATGTCCTTTTGTACTTTTGCTTTGGTTTCTAGTTGAATTCTTTTATTTCTTTATATATCACTGGAGTATTTGATCAAAACTATTTTATTTGAGAAGACACCAGAACTTTTTTCTAGTTTTAAAACGAGACCTGGTGCAGTGTTTTTTGAGAAGTTTGGGCGTCAGCAGGAAATGATCTGAGATGCTTTGCATCATGCTAATCGACAAACACGTGAGGAGTTCTCAATTTAAGAGCCAACAAAACGAAAATCACAATTCAATGTTTCCTCTATTGTCCACGAAATGTAAGAGATCATTTGATAGGGAAGGGAGTTAATTCTTACGTATTTATTGGTTCATGTGAACACTAACGTGCAATCGATTGTTCATCGATCTTAAAACTGTGCATTAGGATTATTCAAAAATGTTGTTGCCTAAATATATAAATGATACTGTATGGAGTGTTGTAGTTAAACATCAATATTTCACTCTGAGACTAATTTGACAGTTCTAAAACAGGATTTAATAGCTTTAGAAAGCAATGCCAACTGTTGGCTTTTTAAAATAAAGATCACTATTGGTTTGAACGTTCCATATGGATTGATACAAGTTGAATTGTTTGTCACGGGATGCTTTTGTCATACCAAAAATTACTGGTTTAGTTTTTGACCTATTTCCTCACTGGCTGGTTTAAAGTTTCTCTCTAGAAAGAACAAATTTTGAACACCAGACTTAAAATGAGATTTGATTTCATCCACTCTTCAAAGGATGCCTCCATTCTTTGTGCTTCAGCTTTTAGTTTAATGTAACTTTACTGATTTACGTGGAGTGTCATGAGGTTACGTCTGAAGGTTGTTGAAAATGCTACATTTGAGAGAGAGAGAGAGAAATGCTTGAATGGGCAAAATTTGGCGTGGGAGTTACTTTAGGTTGCTTCCTGTGTGATTTCTTCTCTTCACCTTTTCTTCCACTTGTTTGTTTGGCCTCAAATTGTACAACTTTTATTCCATATGCCCTGTAGTTCATTAGTACAGTATGTCTAAATTATTAATCTTCAGTCCTCTTTCTTTGCAAACCATACAGGAATTTTAAATATTACATGTTCAGAAGGATTAAGATTTGAATCCAAAAGTTAAATTCTGTAACTTTTGAACCATGGCATTTAAAGCTGGATATGCTATGATTTGAATTTATAAATTGCTCAACTTTTTTTAAAGAACTCTGAAAATTTTCTCAGTAAAAGGTTTACCATGTTTTTAACCAATTTCTTGAAAGAATGAAAAATATAAACTGTACAAACTATTTTACTCATCATTTTGCTAATGTTCTTGTATTTCAGCTCTTGATTCTTTTTGATAACTTCACATTATTTTGTATATGCAAAGAGTGAATAGTTGTGTACCAAATTAGTTTCTCCAGTCTGTTTGTTTTCTTTGTTGCTGGGGTTTTCATTTTACAATTTCAGAAATTGCTGCTTTATTCTGAACTTAAAGTTTAAGGACATAGTTTTTAAATAAAATCTTTTTAAAATTTTTAAATTAGCAAGATTCTTTTTTGAAAATCCAGATCTGCAATATTAATTGCCTTTTTTGTTCTTAACATTAGATCAAAAGTTGGCACAAATTTCAAATAAATGTAATTTAGAAAACCTTTGAACACTTTATAACAATCAGTGAATGTATTCTGAAACTTGAAATGTAATTCACACCCTATTGAAAGCACAATTTTAAATTTCTAATCTCCATTTTTGTTCTGCTCCTTTTTTATTACTAGTGTACAATTGAAACATCTTTGCACAGATATGAAGGTTGAAGTATTATTCTGGCATTAATGACCACTGTGACTCCTGTGCATTATAGAAGGGTGAAGTGTGCAGTCTTGTTGAGGAGGCCATCTTGAGTTTCACATTGGAATATTATACTTCTGAATTTTGATGCATAGTTGAGTTTAAAAATTGCCATCCTTTAGATCCTTAGTGAAAATAACCCCAAAAATACTGGAGACATGAGGAAACAGACATTAAAGTATGCAGTCTTCTAAAGGAGACTCTGTGCTAAAAGTAAAACATGTAAAGAGGCATGTGTACTACTTTTTTGGCAAGTAGTGTGTTTTGTAGTTTGCAAAAGAACTTGGGTCTGTCCATGTTTTGCATTCTGCAACTGCAGTTTCATCAGTACTGCAGTACAATAAGGGCAATCGCTGAATTTGTATTATCTTTAGCAGTGTCCATGTTGAAATTGGAAAGATTTTAACAAATATTGTTGAAGTTAAAATAGGCTAGAGAATGCATTGTTTTTTTTTTTAAAAAAAAACTGGCCCAGTGACGTAAACTCAGCCTTTTACAGCCTTGTGGTCAAATACCTATTTTGTTGACCTCAAACTCAATCGTACAAATTCATTTTTCCACCGTTTTGGAGCAATGGAGGAAAACTTTTATCTTTGAGAAGGAAATAATTCTCAGTACCACTTTGAATGCTAGTAGTATTTTGTTGAAAGCAAAGTGATGGGCATGGAGAGGTTCTTGGCTCAAAAACTTGTCGTGAAGTTCATGGAATTCCTACAGTGTGGCCTCAGATAAATTTGTGAGGTGCTTGTATTATATATTTCAAATATGCTGAACTTCATCTCTGGACATCAGTCACTGATCCAAAATTGATTAGTACAATTTTAATTTTCTGAATGGGGTGTGTGAGAGAGATATTTTTATATATAGAGAGATATACATATTTTCACTGTTTTGGGGTGTTATGTTCAGTGCTGTAGAAGTAAAGGTTTTTCATTTTGAAAGAAATGTAGATCTGGTGTTTTTTGTTTTTTATTTCAAAATTGACCTGCTGAAATACTCTAAATCTTCAATACCATTTGAAGATATTTTATGTAAATTCCTTGTGCCCATCGTGTTTTGGGTGTAATAAGATTGATCAGTTATTAGCTTTTTGAGTAACTTTGCCTCAGCAAGATTCCAAAAAAATGCATACTTACCAGCAAACTGGGTGGGCTCCTGCATGGTATGTAAATTCTGTGAACTGTACTTAAAGCCTTTCCTGCACAAATATTCACTTTTTGGTCCAAAATGAACTAGTGTACATACCTTTTTTAGTATGTATATTCTTTGTTTTGTATGAGTTTTTTTCAAATCCTACTTTGCTGACCATTTCTAGTAAACGTTCATTAATGCCCAAATTGTGGGCTGGGGGTGGGGTGGGGTGGGGAGGGAAAGGGGCAACATGCTTTACTAATGACAGACGACAATTGATTTAGATGTGATTGTTTCACCCTGGTCTTCCTGCTCAGTTCATCAGTGCACAATGTGCTTGTTTATCCAAGTGCCGGAGTTCTGTTTTCTTCATGTTTCACGTTGGGGAAAATTCAGTTTGAATTATCCAGTTGTTTTTCTCTTGTAACTTGATGTGCATAGTAAAGCAGTAAGTAGCTTCCTTTTATTCTGTTCACTTTACCATGAGGTTTGGAGGCAACTGAGTGGGGTACTGCTAATCCACATCCTCATCACGTAAAGAAAGGTCAAGAGGTGGTGTTAGTAAGGGTTTCCATAAAGTTGTGTTGAGGCCAGAGGACCAATCGGGACAAAGTGTGCTTAATTTGTTATTCAAAGTGAAATTCTTGGGCCTAGCAGTCACTGCATTCCAGCTCGCGTTGGAACGTTCAGAACTGATGTGGGTACGCCCACCATTGCAAAAGCGACCTTTGTACCTGCTGTGAAAGGCAGGTTGGGAATATGGTGCCATAGAGCACTTACTGAAGCGTTAAAAAGATGCAAGACTGCACACAGTTATTGGAGAGGGCTTGGTCAACTCTTACATGGTAGAAGAGTTGGTGTATATATAATAGGGGAGGGTTAAACCTCCTTTAGGCCTCATATTTTAATATATGCTTTTCTAACATTTAAAATGCACAACCAAAGTCTGCATATTCATCAGTTTTGCAGGGTCTTTTCAAAACTACATATTCCATACAAGCAGCTAGAGGAAAATGAACTGAATTATAAATTAAGATCACTTAAAATGAATTTGAGATGCAATTTTTGCTAAACAGTTTGAATGATAAAATAAATGTCCCTGTGTCTGTCTTGCATGCTCTTGGCTCAAAGAAACTTTGTCCTCAGCTAAATTTGTGAGGCACTCATAATGTATATTTCAAATATGCTGAACTTCATTTCTGTACATCAATCACTAGTCCAAAATTGACTTTAGTAGCAGAGTTTGTAGCGGAGTTCCATAGTCTTTGCTTGGTATCACAGCAGCTGGTGTCCAGTGGACAATGTACATGTTCACAATCTGATTTATGCAAACAGCCTGCTGTCATTTGTTCTGCAGTGGACAGTTTAGTTTTGGGGGATGGATTCAGATCTGACACTTGCCACCTGGGGTTAAAATCTGTTTAGAATTTTTACAATTTGCATAGAACAATGGGTGAACAAAATATTTTCCTAAATGGTTTATTTTCCTGAAAAGAAATTGTAAATATTTCATAAATAAAACTTCCTCGTTGTGCACCTTTGCTGAGTGAAGCTTGAGGTCCAAATTGATATTTTTTTTTCTGTAAAAGAAATAATTTAAAAATGGCAGTGAAGTGGGTGGAGTTCTCTCTGCCTAGGGTTACTTCCTTCTTGACCTCTAACTATAACTCCACATCATATAATCAGTATAGCAGGCAGCCATTGCATACTAGGCAGCTGACTGCTTTTAATTATTGAACAGCATTAGCAGGATGTTTGTGGTTTCCTACAGCTTTTTAATTTTTTTTAATTCTTTTCTACATATTTCGGGGTTAAAGTTGTGGAAATTGTTCTTTTTGCTATATTACAGCTAATGCTGTTGTGT